AATAATAACTGTATATAAAATTTAATAGTTAAAATAATAAAATACGCTTAATTGCGGTTAAAAAAAAAAAAAAAAAAAAAAACAAAGAAAAAGTACAGCAATATGCCTCTAAGGGTATTAGCCTATTCAAACAAACCTTTTTTGGTTATATTCCAGTTAATATCAGAAGGTTCTTCCTTACGGTTAAGCTTCGGGGCACCCCAATGGGTAATGCAGATACAATAGGAGACTTTATTCTAAAAGCATTTAAAGATATAAAACAAGTAGTCCAGAAGTACACATATTGATGATCACAAAGTCTCTATAGACTGGAAAGAAGCCCCAAAAGTCTGCTTTTTCTGTGAGAAGAACATATTAAAAAAGATTGTGAAGAACTGAAAGCTTCTATCAGAGTTAGACAAGAACTCAAGGAAGCCAGAGCCCAACTAAGGCAAACGACTGCCCAAAAACTATCTTCCATAGATCTAAAAATTAGTGAAGACAACCCTTACACTAAGTCAGATATCAAAGAGATAGAAATAGAAACAAACTCAATTTCTAGCAGAAGTTCCACTCCAATGCCAGAAACTCCTAATAAAACTAGTAATAATATAGAAACTCTAGTAGATGAAATGATTATTGAGTTTACAGTAAAGAACACAACAGATATACCAAACGAAACTACCCCTAAAGCTATTCCTCCAAACAATAATAGCATGACAGAATCAAAGGATCAAGACCCTAAAGACCCTCCATTTACTATGGTAGTCTCAAAAAAACAAAAACTCAAGAATAAGAAAAAAGGTCTTGGTGATAGCTATTACCCCTATAGAGGATCAAAAGGTTCACAAAAAAGAGACCCAGAACTGAACACTAAAAAAGAGGAGTTAATTAGTGTAGCACAAACCCCAAATTTATTTCACATGATTAAGATCGCTACACTCAATATAAAAGGTCTAAATAACAGACCTAAAGCACAAAATACTCTTACCCTTTTAAAATCCTATAATTTAGACATTATAATGCTACAAGAAGCTAATTTAAAAAACTCTAAAATAAGAAATTTCCTGGCACAATTTGACTCATTCTGGTCATCAAAAACTGCTATATTAGCAGGCAACAAAAATATTAAATTTTTTGATACTAAAAAATCATATAATGGAAGAGTAACCTCCACCAAAACAGAGATTAAACAGCAACCCTTCTTCTTTACAAATATCTGCACCCCTCCTTCACATGAAGAGAGATGTACTTTTTTCCAAAATTGGACCCTGCAAAGCACAGAAGAGCATATATGTATAATAGGAGGCAACTTTAATACAAACTTGGACCCATATAAGAATCGAATCAGTCAAGCAGCTATACAGTCTGATCAATCAAGAGCTAAACTAGAAAACCTCATAACCGAGTTTGTAGACATAGCTCTGTTTTCAAAAGAAAGTCAATTTCTCACTTTCTATCAGAATACACAAAACAACCAAAGTATGCCAACTAGACTAGACTATATATTCATTGAGGCAAGCCATAGCTATCTCTGCGCAAATACCTATACAAGCTTTGGCAACTCAGATCATCTATTGGTAGTTAGCTAACTTAACACTAATCAAACTAAAGTCCCATCAACATAGAAATTTAACAGAAGCTGCTGGGACAATTTGGAGCTAAAAGAAGAAATCTACAATGAAATACGGAATATTAGCTCTATAACAGATTGGGACTGTCACAAGTGCATGATTCAATCGATCTGCAGAGCTTTCAAACCAAAAATCGCACCAGAAAAAAGAATACAGAAAATACACAGAAGAATATGTAGTATCAAGAATAAACTTGCCAGAAACTCTAATCTTGTAGAATTAGAGCTTATTAAGGAAGATCTCAGAATTCAACTACAAGAGGAGCTAGAACAGCTCTCTAACAAGTGGCGTATTAGATCAAATGCTAAGTGGGTCGAAGAGGGAGAGAAATCAACTAAATATTTCTTCTCTCTTTACAAAATGAAGCACACGACTTCGGGATGCTCCACAATCCAGGACCCAGAGTCTATAAATAACCAATCGCAGGAGCACACACTTGATTATATTAGAAATATATACCAAAATACATACAAAACAGAAGACATTAATATTATAGCAGCCAATCATCTGCTAGAAAATGTTACAAAAGTCACTGCTAACCAAAATAATAACCTTATTAGGCCGATAATGGAGGAAGAAATTGGTCTAGTAATTGACAAGTTGCCCAACAATAAGTCTCCAGGAGTAGACGGGTTCACTTACGAGTTCTATAAAGATACAAGAAGCTAATACTTCCAGTACTCACAAAGCTATTTAATAATGTTATTGAAAAGGGTTGCATACCCAACTCATGGAGTATAAGCCTTATTACTCTAATTCCAAAAAAAACAGATGATCTGATGAATGTCAATAACTGGAAACCTATTTCCCTTATTAATACTGATGCAAAAATCTTTATGAAAGTCCTGGCGAACAGACTAAACACGATTTGTGATACCATAATTGGACCAGCTCAACAGGCTTTTATCGCCAAAAGATCAATAGCTGACTCAGCATCAGACATTTTAACAGTCCTTAGAAATCAAACAGACCAGTCTAAGCAACATTGGCTTCTTTTGTTAGATCAACAAAAAGCCTTCGATAGAGTAAATCATCAGTTCTTACAAATAGTTCTAGAAAAAATGAATTTTGATTACAGATTCATCAGAATAATAAGCTCGCTATTTGCTACATACAGAGCCCATATAGTTGACAAGGGAAGAATATCTAGCCCTTTTAGAGTAGAACGGGGAGATAGACAAGGAGATCCTCTCTCCCCTCTCCTCTATGTCCTAGCTATAAATCCTCTGATATACTCAATTAATCTAAATATTAGAGGCATTCCCGTAAAGAACTTTATTTTAAAATCTTAGCATATGCCGATGATTTATCAATAGGAATTGGCTCTGTCTCAGACTGGGCTAATCTTAACGAGACCCTAAGGAAATACGAGGAAGCTTCAAATGCTTCTATTAACAAATCTAAAACTATACTGCTCCCAATTACAGATAATGCTCGCAGGATAAAGCTACCCAACCAGTCCGAGTTTAAAGCTATTGATCAGAACCAAGACTCAATCACAATTCTTGGATATGAAATTAATATGAAAGGAGAACCTAGCAAAAAGTTATGGGCAGAGATACTTAAAAAAATCAACAAGATACAATCCTTAGCACAGAGAAATCTCTCATTACAAGGCAGAATTTTAGTCGCTAAAACACTACTTATCTCCAAGATTTGGTATCTCTTATATCTTCTTCCACCATCCAGAAAACAACTAGGAGAAATCAAAAACTTATCACAAACTGGATTAAGAACAAGTCAAGAATGCTACCACAACCCTCCACCTTCCAATATAGCTATGAACAAGGAGGACTAGCAGCTCCTATACTAAGAGATCTTCTTGACGCAAGACTGATCTCAGTCCTTATCAAGCTCTTCTCGAGCGAATCATTTTGGGCAAATACAGAGAGAGATATTATACATCAGAAGCTTTATGATAGAGGAATTACCTCAATTTCTAACTCCTTATCGAGGCAACCATGTAAAAATAGAGGCTGGCCAGATAGATAGAAACCATATATTGTAGCCTGGGGCCGGTTCAAGAGAAAGATCCTAGTAGACAGCTCATGGCCTTGGCCATTAAAACAAATCGAAATACAAGACTTAAGAGGTAATCTTTTTTCAGTCAAAAGTATCCTCAAGAACATGTACAATCAACAAACTCACAATAGGAATGATAAGGAGAATAGAGATCCAAGTATAGACTCCCCCTCTACGTATAAGTGGATCAAACAAGAAAATATACTAAATAAGAAGAAAGACATATTCTGGTTAGCTCATATTAGTCCTAATATCTCTGGAGACTGTCCCAACTGCCCACACACTACACAAACCTTAGAACACTTTAGTCTAAAGTGCTCCTTGAGTAAGACAATCTGGAGCATAGCCTATAAAGTCTTTAAATTCTCAAACTATAACATCCCCTCCTCGTGGAAGGACATATTCAAAGCTTCAAATATTTCTAACCCCAAGGAAAAGTATGCAGCAATCTGGCAACACATAACTACTATATACGAAATTTGGTGCTGGTATACCCAGGCCAAATGGGGAAATAACTTGCTTCTAGCAGAAGCAATGGTTAATATACTAAAACGCAAACTAAAATATGAATTCGAACTGCTATGCAAACTATCCTATAGTAAAATTAGTTCTAAATCTAAAGCAGCTAATAAGCTGCTTACAACCTTTAAATTCTCTTTATAATAATATACTCTAATATTAATTTATACATGTATTTGGAACATTTTATAAATTGAGATTATAAATAAAGGTTATGCTTAGATGCGTTTTTTTTAAAAAAAAATAAATAAATAAATATAAGCAATGGTGAAAATTATAATAATGATAGCGATTATAAAGAATAATATTTTTTATCACAATTAATAAAATATGCTTGTAATAAATTAGTACACATCACTCTGGTTATATCGACATTTTTGAGTTATTAGTAAAAAAATTCAATATGTCGATACAGTGAGTTATACCGACATTTTATATTAAATTTTTTAAAAAAATTGTCATTATAGACAGATTTTACTATGATGTTGTTATATCCAAATGTCAGTATAACCAGAGTAATGTGTACTAAAGAATATTGCAATTAATTAGCATATTTTATATTTGTTATACATTACTTAATATATTATTATATGGGCTGAGTGCTGGAAAAAGGACCGAAAATGACAAAATAAAAGATCTTCGGAAAATCAATTTTTGTGTTGTAAATCTTATAATTGATTATAAGAAAACACAAACTTTAAAAAACTATACTGCAAAATTTTATTAACACAACTACCTTTGTGTTTTAAGTAAAAAAAGATCCTAGCCTTATTCTAAATTAATTTATGCGAAAAAATCTACTTTGAAAAAATTGTCATTTTCGGTCCTTTTTCCAGCACCTAGCCCATATATATTTTAAATAAATAATATATATTGTTTAACGTGTTTTTAAATAAATAATATATTGTTTAACATGTTTTTTTTAAAAAGAAAAACGCATTTAAGCATACTTTATTATATACATTTTGTTTATATGATTTACAATTACATATTTATATAGAATATTCTAAGAAGTTTAAGATATTTTTGCATGCATAAGGTTTTTGTCTCATGCGGTAAGAGATTTTGCCTAGTAGTTTGATTTCGAAGTTCAATTTGGCACTAATTATACTTGTGATTGCATTCTGTGGAATAGTATTTCCACCCCATTTGGCTTGTATATACCAGCGCCAAATTTCGTAGATGCAAAAAATATGTAGCTACATTGCCACGTTCTGTTTCTTGAGGTTCTTAATATTGGTCACTTGGAAGATGTCTTTGAGTGTGTAGATATTGCTTCACCTTCTGCTATCTTAAAAGCTGTATAAGCTGTTTCCTGGATTGTTTTACTCAGTGGGCACTTTAGAGCAAAGTATTCTAGAGTTTGGATATAGTGGGGTAGTTAGAGCAGTCACTAGAAGTGTTTGGGGTAATATGAGTTAGACAGTAACCAAGAGGTAGAGCTTTGTGCATGAGCTGCCAAAATGCGTTCTTTTTTTTTGTTTAGACTCTATTTGGATTTAATCCACTTGAATCTGGGGGTGTTGCATGTTAAGTCATTTTGGGGGTTTGACTATTCGTGTAAGCTTTTCAATTCCATGCAGACTGTATATTGTTAACTCTCTATTGTTTCTATTTTATTTCTTCTGGCTTCCATGGCCAGGTGCTGTTTGCTTCGATTCTGCCTTTGAATCTGTTCCAGGCTGTTAGGTAGGGCTTCATCTTTTGGGCTAGCCTTTTTTTTTGCATAGATTTTGGTTTAGAATATTTTTGATTATAATATTTCTTCTGGCTGAGGTTTCTTCTAAGATCGTTTTTCTTTTTAGCCTTGCTCATAAAGTTTTGCCTGATAAGAGTTTTAGCAGAATTGAAAGCAACCTAGCATCAAGCATATCTTTAAGAACTGGAGCAGACAGGCCACCTCTCTCGTATCCAAGTTGAAAGGTTGAGTATTGTGAGAGCATGTGTGAGTTGTTTTTGATCCACTTTATGATGAGGGAGTTGATTTCTTTAAGTTGTTTTCTTGATGGTGGGAGTAGATATGCAAGGTACCAGATTTTTGAAATCAGGAGTGTCTTAGCTACAAGGATTTTCCCTTTAAAGGATAGGTTCCTTTTTGAGAGTTCTTCTATTTTTGTCTTGATTTTATTGATCATTTCTTGCCAAAGAGTATTACAGGGGTTTCCTTTAATATCTATGTGGTAGCCTAGAATTGTGAAGTGTTTCTAATCATTAGCTGGAGCCCTAAAGTTGTGCTGACCTGGGAGCTTAACCCTGCTAGCATTACTTGTGATTGGGATGAGAGCTGATTTAGACTTATTGATGACTGCATTTGAGGCCATTTTGTATGTATCTAATACTTCTAGTAAGGTGGTCCAGTCTGAGGGGGAGCCGATTTCAATCAAGAGGTCATCTGCATATGTAGCAATTTTGAAGTTGTCACCATTGCCTGGTATGCCTCTGATGTTTTTGGAGATGTGTTGTATTAGCGGATTAATTGCTAGAACATAGAGGAGCAGTGAAAGTGGGTCTCCTTGCCTAACTTCTCTCTCTACTTTGATTGGTTCTATATGAGCTGTCTGATGGAGAAGAGTGTGTTGATAATTCTGATGAATTTGTGATCAAAGTTCATCTTTTCGAGCACAATTTGAATGAAATTGTGATTAACTTTGTTGAAGGCTTTTTGTTAGTCAAGTAGGAGAAGCCAGTGCTGTTTTGACTGGTCCTCTTGCTTTCTAAAGATCATAAGGATATCAAGGGCTAAGTCTATAATAGACCTGTTGGCAATAAATGCTTGTTGTGCTAGACCTATAATGTTATTGCAAATTGGGTTAATGCGATTTGCTACAATTTTCATGAAAATTTTAGTGTCAGCATTAACAAGTACAATTGGCCTCTAGTTGTTTATATTTTCTAGGTCGGTATTCTTTTTTGGTATTAGTGTGATTAAACTTTTGGACCATGAGCTTGGAATCAGACCTGTGTTGAGTACATCATTGAATATTTTGACTAAAATAGGGGTGACAAGTTCCTGTGTGTCTTTGTAGAATTTATATATGATGCTGTCTGATCCTTGTGCTTTGTTGCAAGGAAGTTTGTTGATTGTTTGGTCAATTTCTTCTGTGGTAATAGGCCTGATTAACGTGGAGTTTTGATCAGCTGAGACTTGTGTCAGGCCTTCTGTAAGCTAGAGAGCTGCCTCTTTGTTTATCTCTTCACTTTTGTAAAGTTTTTGGTAGAAGTCCCTGACAAACTTGAGGGTTTGTGTATATGGGTTATTGCTGGAGATGCTTGGGTTCTGTATTTTGAAACAGCATGAGATAGAGTATTTTTTCTTGTATAGTGCATAGAAGTATTTTGTTGATTTTTTCCTCTCTTCAATCCACTTGGCACTGGATCTGATTCGTTATTTTTCTAAAAGAAGAGCTAACTCATTTTGTAGATCTTACTTGAGGTCCTCTATTACTAATTTGAGGTCTGTTAAGTTAGAGTTTTGGGCCATTTTGTTGTTAAGGGGAGCACAATCTTTTATGAATTTTCTGGATTTTCTTTTCTAATGCTGGACCTGGCTTGTATGCTTTTGCTATAGATTGGATTGTGCATTTGCAAAGATCCCAGTTAGATGTGTTCTGTAGATTAAGAAGCTCATCTAGAATGCTTGTTTTTAGTTTCAGGTTGTTCCAGTACTTTCTGTCAAATCTCCACTGGGACTGTTTTGTGTAGGTTGAGTTTAGATTGAATTCTGATTCTACCAGAAGGTAATCTGAGTTACCAAAACGGGTTTGGTGTTTTTGCAGAGGTGGCTGTAGTTTTCCTCAATGAAGATATAGTCCAGCCATGTTGCCATTCTTTGCCCATTGTGAGTTGATTGATAGAAAGTGAGGAATGGGTTTTCCTTAGAGAATAGTGCTATGTCTGTATAGTCAGCTATGAGAAGTTGTAACTTTTCTTTTGAATGATCAGCTTGTGAAGAAGCATTGCTTATTCTGTCATTTTGGAAATTCAGGTTTGTGTTGAAGTCCCCAGCTATGATGCAGATTTTATTCTCTGCTGTGACTGGAGCCTAGTTATCAAAGAAACAGAGTCTGTCTTTGTGTGCAGGGGGCATAGATGTTTGTGATCTGTAATAGTTGTTGTTTGATCTCTGTAGAAACTGATAAAATGTGACCATAAGCTCTATATTTCTTTTGCCTACTAGTATTACTGTTTTTGAGGACTATACTGAGCTAAAGCCCATTGCTGTGCTAAAAAGTTTCTTGTGAAAGGGTCTTTAAGGTTGGTTTCTTGAATTAGAATAATGTCTAAGTTGTATGACTTGAGAAGAGTAAATTTATATTGATTATAGCGATTTTAAATATGAAAGAAGATGGATGATTTTGGCTACACTAAGAGGAAGGGTCCTAGTGTTGAGTATTGGGTTTAGATGCAACCTGATAGGTGCTTCCCAAGGTCTTTAAATTTTGTTCGAAGTAAAAGAGGTTCTTGTTTCTCTCAATGCTTCTTTCCTTGGTTTTGTTTTTGGGTTTTCTGTGAGTGACAACTATAAAAGGGGGTTCCAGTTTTGCATTGTCTGATATGCTTGGCTCTGTTTGAGTTGGTAGTGATTCTTCTTTCTGGGAATCTGGTATAGGTATGTCTGATTCTTTAGCTAATGAGTTAGATTTTGTACTTTGTAGTGCTATGTTTATTCTGTCTAGTTCTGAGTTGGTTGTTGCAATCTGCTTTTGGGGTGGAGTATTTACTTCTATCATGTCTGGTGTTTCTTTAGTATAGGGGTTGTCTGGGCTAAACTCCAGATTTGGGGGATCCAGTTTGTAGACCATTGCCTCTTTTTTCGAAGTTTGGCTTCTTTTAGAAGTTGTCTAGCTTATATTGAGACCTTGAGTTCAGTACATTCTTTTTTAATGTGGCCTTCCTTTTCACAGTAGTAACAGACTTTGGGGGCTTCTTTTTATTCTGTTGTTACTTTGTGGTCGCCTACATATGTGTTTCTTGGGATTCTAGACTGTAGATCAGAATCATCTGTTGTTTTAAAAGTGACTAGCTATTGGTCTATGCAGATTTTGGTTCCCTTGAAAAGAAGAGGCTTTATTGCAGTGATTTGGCCAATGTCTTGAAAAGCTTCAAGGATAAGGTTTGTAGTATGTTTTACTTCACCCAAGGGTGTGTTTCTGAGCTTTATAGTTAGGAATGAGCATTTTAGGTTTACTAGAATATAGCCGAAAAAGGGTTGTTAAAATATGAAGATTCTCTCTGCTGCATATTTTTGCACCTTTTCTTTGTTCTTGAAGACAAGTTCAAGAGAGGTTCTTTTCCCTTTAAATAAGTGGCTTTTGACTTCTATAAGATCTCCTTTAAGTTTGAGAGCTAGGGTTGTAATTACATCATTAGTTGAGATATTATGTAGACTATATATATCAATGATTAGTGCATTTTCATTCTTAGAGAGAATTTTGCTTCTGGTTGTTTGGTTCGTAAAGCTTACCTTCCCTCCTTTAAGTTTTGTAAAGAGGTCAGACCATTGCTTTGGTTTATTTTTATTGCTGGTGGGCCTGGAGATACTAATATATTGAAAAGCTGGACCAGGTAGAGATTTATTTGTCTCATCTTGCTTATCATCTGATTGATTGGTATAATTGTCTAAGTGAGTGTCCATCATGTAGTTTATGTGTACCTCCTTGTTTATATTGTTTTCCTGGTTCACATGTTTTTCTTCTGGTGCTTTGTTGTCTTGAGACACGTGTTCTGTTGTATTTACTTGTATTTGTTGTGTGTTGAGTTGGTTGTTTTCCCCAAGTTTTTCTATAGTATTGTTCATTTTTGTTTCTTGGTTATTTATTTCTTTCTCTGTTTGAGTGGCCCAGCTAGTGCGAACTATGTAGTTAGGTTCTTCTAGCTCCTTGGTATTAGGTCTTTGGCAGTTTTGTAGGTTAAAGCTCAAGGAGATGATAGTGTCCTGGTTTTCTTTGTTTTCTATCAAGCAATTCTATCAAGCAAAAGATTTTGTCTTTATTTTCTTTTTCTGCCTTGGTTGAGAGTCTGGCCTTTTTGTTTTTTGCTTGTTTGCCTATGTTTAGTAGAGCAGGTTTGCGTTTATTAGGCCGTGAGGCCTTTTTTTTTTGTAGGTTTTGAGGAGGAGCTGCTAAGTTTTAACATGTTTTTAAATGCATTATCCAATTAAATATGTTATTTAATATGCTTTTTGAACTATTTTTAAATGACATTAGTCTGTATTGGGTTTGTTTCCCTACACCTGTTAGTAAACACTTTTCAAACTTCCTGATGTAATAATAACAGTATTGATTAGTCTCCAGAATGAACATACAGTATTGCAGTGCCACCTGTTGGCTATAGTTGATCAAATAAATGTAATAGAAGCGAAAGGGGGCTGCACTTCTTTGTTAAAAGAAGAAAGAAGTAGACTATGTTGCCAGGTTTGTCAGTTGGAGTTATATTGTAGAGTGAGAGGTTTAATTATCAAAGTAATAATGTATAGAGTTTTTTTTTTTGATGAATAAATAAAATATCATGTGTTTTTTTTTGATGAATAAATAAAATATCACATATTTCTGTCCTCTTTTAAAAATTTTCTCTGAAAATTCTATTTTTCAATGATAATTGTGGGTTGCCAAATGGGTTTTTTATAATATTTGGCTAGTTGGTCACTATTATAGTACTTCTTTAACATTTTTCCTTATAATGTATCAAGTTTGTAAACATCATTGTTTAACTTATTCACAATTATAAATGGTTCTATTCATTTGTCCTCAAATTTAGCAGATCTTGAGGCTTCTAAGTCTTTTCATTGTACTCATACTTTATTACCTATTTTGAATATTTCTTGTTGTATTCTAAAATCAAATCAAACTTTCTGTTTCTTTTGCGATTTATTTGTATTCTCTCAAGCATTATCATGCTAGTAGAGCAATTCTTCTATTAATTCGAATGCTCATTGCAATATACTATCTTCTAGTGATATTTTTTTATCCAATATATCTGGTTCTATTGGAATAACAGTTTCAATTAGTAGGATAGCTTGGCGTCTATATACTAATTGAAAAGGAGTATATTCAGTAGTTGCATATCATTTAGTTTAGTATGCAAATAATATATATGTGTATATTCCAATCTTCATTTGTATTTTTAACTTTTGCAAGTGAATTCAAAGTATTCGATTCAAACGTTCAACTATTCTATTCATTTGAGGGTGTTAAGGTGAAGAAAATATGTGCTTAATTAAAAATTTTGCATACAATATTCTAACTATATCACTTATAAAATTCTTTGTATTATCAGAAGAATTATTTTTGGAACTCCATGTCAATATACAATTTTTTCAAAAATAAACCAGGCTAGTGTCTCAGCACTAGCATTAGGTACAGCTTCAGCTTCAGGCTATTGGGTAAGATAGTCAGTGGCAACAATAAAATAACAGTTATTCTGAGCCATAATAAAGAAAGGTCCTACTAAATCTATTTCTATATGTTCAAAAGCTTGTCCTACTTGAATAGGTAAAGAGGTTCTTTTCATTTAGTTTTTCTTCTTTTCTAACATATTTCACATAATTGAATATAGTTTCTAATATCTTGATACATTTGATCCCAATAATATTATTTAGATATTTTATAATATATAGCATTAGTTTCTAAGTGTCTAGCAGTAGAGTGACTATGCATCATATAGAGGATAGGTTTAACTTCAGTCTACTTGATAACTCAAATAGGTTTATTGGGGTCTTTTCAATTCTTTTTGTACAGCATTTTATTCTGTAATTCATAATATTTTGATTGTTTAATAATTGTTTGTTGTTCATTTTCTGTGAGGTTAGAAGGTAATAAGTTTAATTCTAAGTATTCTACAAGATATTAATATCGATCTAAATTTATGTATAAGAGGATAAAGAAGAGGCGTATTGGCAATCTTGAAAGGGTATCAATATTAGAATGGATTTGTCCAGGTTTGTGAATAATAGTAAAGTGATAAGGCTGTAGTTTCATTATCCATCATCTTAGGTATTCTTTTGGTTGAGAAGATTTTAACCATTTAAGAGCAGAGTGGTTGGTAATTAGAGTAAAGTGGTTAGTTCCAAATTATTTATGAAAATACTCAATAGCCATACTATAGCAGTACATTCTAGTTCTGTAGCTTTATAGTTTACTTCTTCTTTCTTTGTATATACAATAGGGTGTTCTTTTTGATCACTTGATATTTGATTTAAAGTAGCTTCAAATCCTAAATAAGAGGCATTGGTAGCTAGTACAAATTCTTTCTTGTAGTTGGGATAGATAAGAATAGGAGCAGTAATAAGTTGTTGTTTCAATTTATCAAAAGCTTTTTGGCATTGTGGACTCTATTGGTAGGGTTAGTCTTTATACAATAATTGATTTAAGAGTTAGGCAATAGAAAAGAAGTTTTGGATAAACCTTTTATAGTATCTAGCAAGTTCTAGAAAAGATCAGAGTTGCATAGTATTTTGTGGAAATTGTATATTTTGTACAGCAGCTATTTTATCTGGGTCTGGAGAGATTCCTTTTTCTTCTATGATATGTCCTAAAAAAGATAATCTTTTTATCCAAAAATTACATTTCTTAATGTTTAATTTTAATCCAGCATTTCTAATTCTAGTGAACACTTCATGTAGATGTTTAATATGATCTTCAAAAGTCTGAGAAAATACATTGGTATCATCAAGATAGACAACTACATATTTATACATAATATCTTTATAAACTCGATTCATTAACCATTAAAAAGCTGCAGAAGCATTGCATAATTCAAACAGCATCACGTTAAACTCATAAGTACTATATCTTGTGATAAAAACAGTCTTTTCATAGTCATTTGGGTGAACTTTAACTTGCCAATATCCACTCATTAAATCTAAGGTAGAAAAATATTTGGCTCTAGCTAGTGAATCTAGCATTTCATCAATTCTAGTAAGAGGATATTGATCTTTTTTGGTGATAGCATTTAGCTTTTGGTAATCAACACAAAATCTTTTCTTTCCATTTTTCTTAGTAACAAGT